AGAATTAGATGAAGCATATAACTGTAATTTACCATCAAATGAGTTCTTAACTTGGATCCAGTACAAACATTATCCTGTTGTAATCTGGGAACAATACGAACATTCCCGAGTTATAAAAAGAATATCGAAAAGTTATAATACAACGAGTTACGGAAAGTGGCTGATACCCATAACTTTAAGGGAAATATCATCATTAAATGAAAATATGTGGAAAATATGTTTAAAACCAAATATTGGTTCTTCCGAGTTTCCCACAGCTATTTTAAATAAATCTTGGATGGTAAACATTGAGCAAGCTGGTAAATATACTTAAAAAATTTTACACATTTTATGTTATTATGAAAATAGCAAGAAATACTTCTGCAAATATTTCCATTAAGTCGGATAGTTGATGATCCTGTAACGATATAATAACGAAAATATGCATGATGAGTGTTCCCATTATATGAAACGTAGGAATGCATGTACTCAAAAACACAATATGTGTGTTATAGATATAGTAATTTTCAGTATATTTGATCATACAAGTATGTGTGACGTTTCTTTAATATAAAAAAGAAGATAAAATGAAGAAAAGTATTTCTTTCAATGTCAATCTTGGAAAATTTATAATACAGTTAAATAAATTAACTTTTTTTTTCATGAATAGGTTACTATCGAATCAAATATGATTCAATAACCTGGGGAAACATTGCAAAATATTTAAATGACACAGCTGGAGATTATAAGAGTATAAGTGTCATCAATCGTGCGAAATTTATTGATGATGCGTTTCATTTGATGATGAATCGTGAGCTCGATGTATCTGCATTTTGGAATCTCACGAAATTCTTATCGCAAGAAACAAATTTCGTAGTGTGGTATCCAATGATTAAAGTATTTGAATATATGTCGAATTTAATTCCACTTTCGAGAGAAGAAATTGAGGTCGCCGATATTATGGTAACGTCCAACGGATATTACATTTAACAATGAATATTAGATATATCAAAAAATATTTCTAATTGAAAATATGTGCATCGGAAGTTTTTGTTAAATTTCCTAGAATTCTAATTAACATAATCGAAATTCTTGTTGGAATGATATATTTGGTAAAATCTGCAAGAATTATTATTTTTATCAGAATTATTATATTATTTAAAACAATTATTTCTATCAACTATATCAAATAGAATTTCTCGTAAATTTAACTAGAAAATAATAGTTCACCCATATTTCAATTTTCAAAATCATTTCGAACTGATTATTACATCAGAAAGAACGTAGAAAAAGTAATCCCTTTTTGAATTCATTACGATTAATTGTCAGTGCTATCTATAATAATGAGCTTCATTACGATCAATGAAACTTGCGTCATTTAGGAGAAATTAAAAAAATTGTTGGAAAAACCACTGAAGACACTAGGATATGAAGAACATTTGGTGGAAAATGACTTTGTTAAATATTTAAGACAAGAAATTGTGAAATGGGCATGTATTTTCCAATTCGATGAGTGCAAACAATCAGCTTTTCGTAAATTAATGCAACATCTCGGAAATCCTGAAATAAATCCGTAATATTTTTCTATAAGTGCAATTGCTTCATAATTTCGTTTTTGTATTTCGAATTATGACAAAATATCGGTTGACACATATAATAAACAATGTTTTTACATGTGTGAATATATCATTTTTTTTTTAAATCTTCAGCCTCTTACCATGGTGGAAGCACTGGACATATTGCAATGGTGTTGCAGTAACTTATTCATTTACGTGGACACACATAAGAGATATATGGTTCAAAGCACGTAATCATACGTTGCTACCCTTCTTAACTTGTTTTAGGTATGCTACTCCAAATACTACTTCTTCATTATTATTGAAGCGTTTCCAAGAGGAAGGGCAACAAGACATTACGAATGTTCGTTCGTACATAAACATTTTTCATTCAGTTATTACAAAATATTCTAACACACATGACATACTCGAGATGATATTTAGAAAACTCGAGATTATGAAACCTGAGTAAGTACATGTTTTATGAATTTACACTTTATTTAACAATAATATATTATATAATAAAACATATATTTGTACGAATTGATTTTATATAGACAAATGAGCTTGTTAACAGCGCTGGTCGATATCATTAACCATGTATATTCTTCCAAATATCTTATTAAGGTAAATAAAATCAATTCTAATTATCTATACACTTATCAATTTCGTTTTAGTTAGGTTTCATACCTGTGAGATTAATTTTAATTTCAGTTTTTTATACTTTATCTTTTTCTAATTTTTTGAATTACAAAAAGACTAAACTGAACTGAGAAAAAAGTATTTTTTATAACCGCCTTCAAAATTTATATTAATAACTGATGCATGGTGTATGCAATATGCCACATATGCCTCTGACTGCTCTTTGGTCTTTCAATTTATGAAAAATGACTATTTATTGCATGCAATTTTGTCTGTATGGGACGATAATAAATTATTAAACAAATGTAATTACATTTTAAAACATTTTTTGTTTTAGATTCAAGATGATTATATAAATTCACTTTCCTTTAGAGGTTACATAAATAAATCACAACTTTTGCTAATTCAAAGAAAGATATCCATCCGATTGTCAGAAATTGCCGCTCATACACTATATTTTCGATTTATAAGCGATCTTTAATCTAATTTAAATAACTAAGTAATATATATAAGTTTTCTTTTATATTAGCTCGAATCAGTGGAAAATTACATAAGCTGATCTTACTGTTGCTGAATATATAGTGTTAATTTTGAATATATTGTTATAATAATTTTGCTATATATTTAGGCTTACACAAATGTTATGATATTGTTTTCATTAAATTTTTACTTACGTCTGTATTTTCCATATGTTAGTCTTGCTTCATTTGCACATTATCGATTATTTTTCGTTATTATAATACTATCGTACCTGTATTATTTAGCATAAATATTTATCATATCGTATAATATTATTATTCGTTTATAGCAGAAAATAATTAATAAATATATCTTAATTGTAATGAACTATTACGGTTATTTTATTATACATTAT